GCCGCAAACCACCTGCGTACGAGCTACGCCCAGAGGGCCTGCACGAGCCTAGGGCATCCCGGATCGGTTAGGGTGCCGAGGCACTCTCTCTCACACCCACACGCACACACCATAGGTGCAAGTATGTTGGCGCCACGGCCCCCCTCACCTTGCAGCAGGGAGAAGGCAGGACTGGAGAAGCAAGGGGCAGGAAGCAGGAGGCATGACGAACAAAAATGCGCGCAAGCTGACTCCGCGTTGATGTTGTCATTCTTGTAAGGAGATTATCCCGGCAAAGCAACCTAACAGCGATGTGTAGAAGCATATATGAAAGCATTCCCCTTAAGATTCAGATGAAAATCCAGTTGTAGAATTCTGCTGTATCTCGCCGTCGTAGTCTCATTTCGCGATGACAGTCGCAGCGGCAACGGCAGTCGCAGTCACAGCCTACCTCAAGCCTGCCTCAGCCTCCGCCTCAAGCCTGCTCAGCCTCAGCCTCCTCAGCCTCAGCCTCAGCCTCATCCTGCAGCCTGCCTCAGCCTAACGCTGCTCAGCCTCAGGCCTCAGCCTGCTTCAAGCCTCAGCCTCAGTCTGCCTTTCATGCCTCGGCCTCAGCTCAGACTTCCTCAGCCTCCACCTGCCATCTCTCACCTCACCTCGGCCTGCTCAGCTCAGCCTGCTTCGCCTCAGCCCAGCCTCAGCCTCCAGCTCAGTCTGCTTCAGCCTCAGCCTCAGTCTGCCTTCAGCCTCGGCCTCAGCCTCAGCTTGCCTCAGCCTCAGCCTGCCTCGGCCGCAGCATCAGCCTGCCTCAGCATTCAAAATGTGATCCAGGAATGGAGTTCTGGGAAATAGAAGAACACGAAGTGGCATACAGTTGGCTCCGGGCATTCAAAATGTGGCCCGGGAATGGAGTACTGGGAACTTGAAGAGCACGAAGTGGCCTACAGTTGGCTCTGGGCATCCAAAATGTGGCCCGGGAATGGAGTTCTGGAAAATCGAAGAGCACGAAGTGGCCTACAGTTGGCTCCGGGCATCCAAAATGTGGCCCGGGAATGGAGTTCTGGGAAGTCGAAGAGCACGAAGTGGCCTACAGTTGGCTCTGGGCATTCAGAATGTGGCCCGGGAATGGAGTTCTGGGAGGTCGAAGAGCACGAAGTGTGTGATTGTTTGCAAAAACGAGTGCGGCGGCAGCCGCGGCGGCAGCCTGTCCGGGTCCCGCCCAGACCCCCCTGAGGAGTCATGATGCTCTCTTTTGAGACCACTAGAAACCTATCAGCAAGAGGTGTTAGGTAAAAAGGAGGCACGACGAGAGAAAAAATATTGGACACTTCAGCAGGACAGCACTCCAGCAATCAACTAGCCTGGCCTGGAGCCCCTATCGGGGCGGCAGCGGATTCCCTGGGCGCCACCCTCATATTGGTCGGGGGTCTTCAGCAAGGTGCACATGTTCAACTTGACCCAGCATGCAAAACAAGTGGCGTATGTGGACACTGATGCGTTTCTCGTAGACAGAGGAGCTGACAACGTATTCTCTGCATGCGCGGCAGAGCTGTGTGCTGCGAGGGATGCGTACGAAGGGGGGGACATCCAAGCAGCCATGATTAATGTCGGCGTGCTCGTGGCAAAGACCAGCAAGGACCGCTTCCACGACTTATTGCTTGCCGCTCCAACAGTCAAGCCGTCTCGATTCCCCGAGCAGCTGTTTTTCAGCACGTATTTCAATGTATCCCGTTCTGCGGTGCAGGACGGTACGTTTCAAGCTTTGCCTGGGATCTACAACCCTTGCAATGGCGATATGGACTTGGTGAACAAGTCGTTGATTTTCCACGCATGCGGAGATATGAAGTTCGAAATGCTGCCACTATGTTCGTGGGCGGTTCCTGCAAGTCGACAAGCGGATTTCTGTAACAACCGTATTGTCGCGAAGTTTCAAGAATTGCTCGTGGCGTCAAACTCTTGTGCCATGGCGGGGCAACACGCCTCGGCCTGTGATGCGAACCCTGAATGCCAATGGTGTGGGGATATGGTCCGTTGCAGGTCCAGGGCCAGATCTTGTATGCTTGAAACCCCAGGCACAGCGGCAATGTCCACCCGATTAAGATTAAAGAGTAGAGGGTGGGCATGGGTCAACAAGTTGTTGCATGAACTGACAGAAAAGCCCGACAACGTGTCTATGGTGTCTTCAATTTCTCTTGAACCGTCAGTGATGGCATCGGTAACTGTGCTCACTTGCAACCGGAACGCGTTTTTACAGAATGCATTGGAGCAGATCGTTTCGCAGGATTACCCGTCACTTGAAGTTGTTGTTGTAGACGATGGTTCCGAGTCAATCGCATCAACGTTGCAACCCAGGTTGCAGAGGCTCCGCAACCATATTTTCTCGTGGAAGGGCTTGGAAGTGCAGCTGATTCGCTTACAGGAGCCAGCATCCCTCGGCGAGAAAAGAAACATTGCCCTGCAAGCAGCAAGGGGAGGAGTCATAGTGCATTGGGACGATGACGACATGTACCCGCCTTGGCGCATACGTGCGCAGGTGGAGCCTATCATGTCAGGGCGGGCTCAGATGACAGCTCTGCCGCATTCCTATTTTGTGCAATTGCCGAATGCCACGTTCTTCAAGTATGAGATGGTCACTGATGAGGGCTACAAGAAGGTAAGAGCGGTGTTTCTTGGCTCGCTGGTGTACCAGCGGGAAATGGCGCTGAAGGTAGGCGGATTTGCGAATGTCAGTGCAGCAGAGGACTACGAGTTCAGCGAACGTGCTTTGCTGTCTTGCCGCAGTCTCCTCGTTGTTGACGAGCCTTCTATATACGTCCGTCATGGCGGCGGTGCGCATAACAGTTGGCAGTGGGACCGCAATATCACCCTGCCTGCGGCAAGCCCCAAGCCCCGCCGCCGTTCCAGCGAGGCAGCGCAGCAGCAAGCTCCTCCTCCTCATGCTCTTCACTCCTTCTTCACATTCTCCCCCTCTCCCCTCCTCCCTCTTGCGGGCGGGTAGCGGGACCATATTTGAGCTCTCTTGGGCCGTCTCTGGGACCTATCGGGCAATATTGAGGCGCTCTTAGGGCCGTTTGGGGGGCTTTTTGAGGTAGTGACGTCCGCGTGCAGCCCACCACCTACGGCCCCAGCAGGTTGAGCGTGCCCAGGACCAGGGTACATCGTTGCAGCGCGTTCTGCAACGCTCCCAGGGCGACCTGGAGCGCTCTGGAACGGCCGCGGCGCCCAGTACACCCCGCAGAACCGCTGGGCCTCAGAGCTCCCCAACTCATCCAGGTACGGTTCTGTCCTTGTCCCAGCTTCGTCTTGGTAGGAGTCATGGCATGTGGTCCCAAGCCCATGCCTGGGGAAACCAAGCGGTACCAGTACTGCTACTCCCCGGACCTCTCCCAGGGTGCGTTCTGACCAGGATCTCGAGGTGAATCCAGCGGTGGCGACGAGGGCATCCCAGGAGGCCCAGAAAAGGGAAAACGGGCGAAGGGCAGCATTATGGGTATTTGTTCCTCCTCCGGGAGTCGGCGCACCCTTAACCTGGATCGTGTTTTCAGGGGCGGCCTCACCGACCCCTAGCAAACCATCTCTCTCTGCGACGTTCCCCTCGCCTCGCCCCAGGACGCACGTATGCGACCGGAGGGAAGTGTGCAAGGCGAGGATGACGTCACGGAAGGGCATGGTTTGCCAGGGGTCGGTTAGTTACCAGCCTGGAACATATCCCTATCCTTATGCTGGGCATCTCCGCATCACGATGCCAATCTTAGGGGTGCCCTCATTTTTTGAGGGCGCATCCCTAAGATTGTCATCGCCTTTTGGCGTGTCAATCTTAGGGATAGGGATAAGTTCGAGGCTGGTAAGTTAGACCGCGCCCGATGCTTCATTCTTGGGGGGGCCCGGCGCACCTCGGCGCGCCTGCTCCGCGGGCACTCCTGTGGCGCGCTGGAGCCAGCAGGGCCGCACCCCGCGCCGCGCGCGGCTGCGTGGACTCCTCGCCAGGCTGCGCCACTGCTGTGGCCTCGTGTGGCCTCGGGCGTTTCTGTGGGAGTCTCTCGGAGGGTTTTTAGGGGCTCCCCCTCCCCCGTCCTCCTGACTTGTTCTCCGAGCAGTGTTGCTTTTGTTGTGGCGATCGGCCGCTGACATGTTCGCTCAAGCGTTTTCCCGAGGATGGCTGTGGTACATCCGTGGGCAGTCGGCGTGGTCACCCAGCTCGCGCATGGGGTGTCTTCTTGGCTGAGTCAGGCACCGGCTGCTCCGCCGTGTCCGAGCTGCCAGTGCGTGCGCCCGGCGGTGCCGCTTTGCCCCGCGTGCCCTGGGGCAAAGCAGGTGGCCTATGCCTGATGTGCGCGGGGGCGGGCCCCCCGCTGCGGCACCAGCGGCGCTGGCTCATGGGCCGGGTGGTGTTTTGACCGAGTGACGCCATCTTCGTGTCGCCCGACCCCCTGGTCCAGTGGGAGGTGGTCGACCGGTCGTCGGCGGACACCAGGTGCGATGGACCGACGGATTCGCACCCTGGCCGCCGGGCGTCGGGAGGACCTATCGGCGCGGCGCCGACGCTGGCGGACGCCGCCTGGCTCCCCGACGCCGAGGCCGAGGCGCGGCAGTGCCTTCGAGCCGTGCCTTCGGGCGGCGCCGACAGCCGCCGACGCCGCCCCCTCTGGCGCATATCCCAGCGGCGGCTGCGGCCGTCGCCCCGGCGGGCGCGCCCCCCCTTGGCAGCGGCGGGTGCCCTGGTGACGGCCGCCGCGGCCGCCCCGCCCGCTGCGCCTTTGGCCAGAGGCGTGCTCGGGCGCGGGGCCGCGGCTGCGGCCGCGGCCGGGGCTGGAGGCCAAGGCGGCGCCAGCGGGGGAGGCCCCCCCGCCGGGGCGGCGCTGGCGGCGGTGGCCGTGCGCTCCTCTGGCCGCTCGCGCTGGCTGGCGGACGAGTCCGCACTGTTCATCGAGTGGGTCGCCGTGTCAGAGGAAGGCTTCTTCAGCGACAGGGGGGAGGCGCCCGAGTGCCGTCTGTTGCCAGCGCGACTGGGCTGGGCGGGCAAGCCCCTCAGGAGCCTGACCAACCTAGTGGAGAGTTGCCGGGGGGAGGTCATAGCGGATGTCCTGAAGCCGAGGGCGACCATATGCGGTGCCTGGAGCACCTCGCCATCGAGGGTCGGTCCTTGGAGAGCCACTTCGATCATTTCAGGTATTTAACCGGGTTGCAGGATACCCAGTGGGGCATGGAGGAGCACGCGCAGGTGGTGAGCTACCTGAAGGCGCTGCTGCAGCATGACCAGGTGGATGGCGGAAACACTCAGCCCGCGGAGGTGAAGTTCCAGCGCCTCCAGTCCATAGGGTACTGCTACAGCGACAAGATTCGCGAGCGCGCGACGGGCGCCTCAGGAGGGCGGCTCGCGACAGACGAGGCGGTCTCCAGCGCGACCGCTCGGGCCGTGGCCAGGCGCGCGGCGCCGCCACAGCTACTGGAGAGCGCGAAAGGCGGACCTCGAGCGGGACGCCGCCCCCGCCAAGAGTCTGTCGAAGGCGCGCGAGGCCCGCGAGGCGCGAGGCAAGAAGATCGGCCGCCCCCACCCCCTTCTGGTGTCTCTCGAGCCTGGATGGGGAGGAAGCGAGCTTGCTTGAGACTGCTCGGGGCGTCTTTGCGCCGACCGGATCCTTCGGCAGCGGCGTGGACAGGTAGATTTCGCCTCTCCACACGGCGCCCCGCGCTTCGTCTCGCCAGGGCCGCCGGCGCACTGGCTCTCGCGTGGCCGTCGGCAAGGGGCCGGCTGCCGGCGGCGACTGCATGGCGATGGTCGTCGGCGCGCAGAGGCTCAGCGCGCCGCGCGGCACGGGCGCGCGCGAGGCCGATCCCGGCGGACCCGGAGCTGCCCCGCGAACCGCCCCGGATCGCTTGAACTTCGCGCGGCAAGGCGCGCGCGCGCGTCGAAGCCTCCGCCCCCTCTCCGGGGCCGCCCGCCCTGAGGAACTCTCGAAGGCGTAAGCCTTCGAGGGGGATGCAAACTCGCAAACCCTGTCGAGTCGCAGGTTGTGCTGATCGACGCGGCTCGAGGAAATTCTAGACGCTTCGCGCACCCCCACCAGCCCATCCAGAAACGATGCCCAGAGGAAGTGCCTCGATCAGGGAAGTGGGCAGCACGCAAAGGCAGGGTCCCCCAGTGGAGGCCTCTTGGAGCGTCTTGGGGGCCTCTTGGCGGTCCCGGGCGCCTCTTAGAGCGTCTTGGGTGCCTCGGAAAGCTTCTTGGGGCCTCTTGGGGGTCTCTTGGGGGCCTCTTGGGGGCCTCTGGGGCTCCTGCTGGGGCCTCCTGGGCGCCTCTTGGGGCCCTCTTGAAGCACTCTTGGGAGCCTTTGGGAGCGCTCTCGGAGCCCTCTTGGGCCAACTTGGAGTCATCGCGAAGCCTCGGATGGCCATCGCGAGCGAAGGGGGGAGAAAGCCCAAAACACTGATTGGCTGTAGGTTGCGGTAGGATGTTGGCCTTTTCGGGGCCTCCTGGGGGAGCTCTTTGGCCATTTGGAGCCGTCCTGAGGCGGTCTTGGGGCCTCTTGGAGCATCGTGGGAGCCATCTCGAGGCATCTTGGGATATATTGAGCCATCTTGGAAGTCATCCTGGGCTCCCCCAGGCGTTCTTGGAGCCATCTGAAGCAACGCCCCCCCCCCCCCCCCACCCCCACCCACCCAGGAGGCCCAAATGTGGCCAAGACCTTAGTGGGAAAAAACTTGGAAGTCTCGCCGAGGCCTCTTGGAGCGTCTCGGGTGCCTCTGGGGGGCCTCTTGGGTGTCTCTGGGGAGCCTCTTGGAGACATCCTGGGTGCCTTGGGGGGCTTGTGCTTCTTGGGGCCACATGGGGCCATCTCGGGGCCTATCGGGGCCTCCTGGGCGCTTCCTGGGGCCATCTTGGAGGAGATCGATCACAGGGGGGGGGGGATTAACCCCCCCCCCCCCCCCCCAGAAGGCCAAAATGGGAGCCAAAACTGATTAGAAAACAATGATTTGACTTCCCTCGCCGAGGCCGTTTCGGCGCTCCAACGCGTCGCGAAACCCCCGTCGAGGTCCAGGGGAGGGGTTAGGGGGAGGGGTCAAGACGCCCTCCCCGCCCGCAAGCCGTCTCGCTCACTCCCACCCGCCCTCCCAACACATACGTAGCACCCGAGCCTGGCCCGAGCCGCAGCATATTCAGCAGTCGTCTTTGGATGGGCAGCTACTGGGGGCGAATCCGCCGCCGCCGCCGCCGCCGCCGCCGCCGCCGCCGCCGCCGCCGCGCCGCCGCCGCCGCCGCCGCCGCCGCTGTCCGCCGCCGCCGCCGCCGCAGCGCCGCCCGCCGCCGCCGCCGCCGCCGCCGCCGCCGCCGCCGCTCCCCGCTGCCGAATCGCCGCCGCCGCAGCCGCTGCCGCCGCAGCCGCTGCCGCCACCGCTGCCGCCCGCCGCCGCCACCGCCGCCGCCGCCACCGCCGCCGCCGCCGCCGCCACCGCCGCAGCCGCCGCAGCCGCCGCCCCCGCCGAAGCCGCCGCAGCCGCCGCCGCCGCCGCCGCCGCCAAGTTGTTTTGTATTGTTGTTTGACGGGGATGGTGGGGGAGGCCGCATCGGGTTGGCCTCGCATGCTCCGAATTTGGAGGCCGACTGTGTTGTGTGTAGGTTTTTACCAGGGATGGTGGGCGGGGGCCTCATTGACTCGGGTTGGCTACCAGTCGCCTGGGGGAGGGGGTGCCCACTAATAGGGAACAGTGATAAACTCTTCCCCGAAGGGGAAGAAGGAGGGGCAAAAAAGGAAACACTCTAGACCACCTACGCCCAAACGGCTGGTGGGATTCGCCGTAGAGGGACGGGGGATGCGAGGGTCACCGCAGGGCCTCTGAAGCAGTGCCCCCCCCC